ACCTCACCTTTGCTTACTTTAGGCATTATGCAACATTATACAAAGTTTCCTCCGAACAAGCTCAAAGCATTTATATAAACATCATACTTCTGCAACTGGACTTCGTGGCCGCGTCTTCAAGGTCAACACACAGTGGACACACCCGGCCGTGCAAGCAGCTCGCTTTCCAGCTCTGGACACATGCAAACACGCTCCGCCTGTTTCTTCGAGATGGGAACAAGCTAAGCAAAGGGGGGAGTGGGATGGGGACGGTGAAATCCTGCGAGAGGGGGAGGGAGAGGTGTAGAGGACAGGAGATGAGAGAATGGAGGAGGGGAGGGCGAGGGAGCTGAAAAGGGGGGGAGGGGGATTAAGAGAAAGGGGGAGAAGAGAGAGAGAGAGAGAGAGAGAGAGAGAGAGAGAGAGAGAGAGAGAGAGAGAGAGAGAGAGAGAGAGAGAGAGAGAGAGAGAGAGAGAGAGAGAGAAAGCGTTATTATTGTTGCAAGAACTGACTGTGAACCCAAGTCGGAACCATAATCAACTAGCGGCTAAAGGAACAGGGGGGGTCACCATACCCACGCCCGGGAGTCTCTTGAAAGACGGGAGAGATAAATCAATACTTTAAAAAGTAGAAGCGCGCGCATGCCGGCCATGCATATACAAACACATATACATGTAACATCTGAATATTCTCTTTCATTTACATACACGAGTACATACGCGCCATATCCCATTTAATACAATGATAAGTTTGGCCCAATGAATGAACCAAAAATAAATGCCCTAGTCCTAGTAAATAAAACATCAACAGCAAAAATAGAAAAACAGAAATAGACAAAAGAAATGCCAAAACACGCGAGGCGGCGGCGGGAAGGAGGAGGAGGCGTCAATACCGTGGCGTTCTCGCAGACGGACAAATCGCAACTTCCTCCTGGCTGAACTATGAAGAAATCAATGACCCAATTTCTGCCATGTGGACTCCAGGCGCGCGTCCTTGGTACATGGCGTTTTCGCGGTGGTTGTGTTGTCTATGCGTACACCGTATGTTCGATCACAACATAACATTTGCTTATATAAATACGTAATAAAAAAAAAAACTTTTGGGAGACTGATAAAAACTCGAAACGATAATATATTTCATTTGAATAAAAAGAGCTGCCGTTCGTATCGATATATAGCATTGTTCTCTGATATCATCATCATATCGCTAACAATACTGTTGCAAATTACAAAACGAATGATAAAACCGCGCACCAAAGAGATGCGAAGATGGACTATCTACACGCAAAACATTATCACGGTAAGGAAGAGGCAGTCACAAGCCTCTGGAAAACCGAACTCATCGAAACAAAACGCGGCGCAGAGAACAGGTGTGGTGGGGAGGCACGGCGGCGTTGGTCGTGGTCGAGGTGGCATGCCTTGTTCCCGGGTTCAGGCATATTCCTCCCCTGTTTTGGCATGTGCGCGTTTCCCTCGTGACTCGCCTGCTGTCCGAGACTGCATGAAGGGGAGACTAATGGAATATGAACTCTCTTTTTTCCTTCTAGATGCGTAATTGCGAAGGGGATGGAAACGGAAAACAAAAACAAACATTAATAATCAGGACAAAATGAGCATGGCTATGCGTGCCTACCCGGGCTGCAACGGGATCCCTGAAAACACTATCCGGCAACAGTCCAAAGTTATTGACTGCAAGACGCGTCATCATCATCGTCGTCGTCGGCTACTGTTACGGATAACCAGATGTAAAAATACACACATACGTACATACATACATACACACACACGCACGCACACTTATATATACAGTATACACGCCGTATACACACGCATCCCGTTCTTCTCCGGGTCGATCGGCATATATGAGTCTGCTCTGACTAGAGATTAGCTCGCTCTACTGACCTCGAACGGTAACTGGTCACAAATAACTCCTGCCGACTGTACCTTAACGATTTGTATGAAGCGCTAAAACCACAGTGACTTCAGAATGCAAGGGGAGCCAAGGATGTTGTCTATAATTAGCCGCTTTATTAAGAAACCCGATGCAGAAGGTGTAGAAAACCGACGTATCCGTGCCTGGCAATTACAAAAACTTAAAGCTGTTGGGATCTTCATGAAGTGGACCTTATCCCGATAGAGTACTTGACATACGACGTAAGTTTTCGCGATGGACGTAAAAGTCTATAAAAAGATGTCTTTAAATATCATATGTCAAATATACGCGCAAACACCTGAAAATATGGAGTGCAGTGTAGCACAATTCCTTTAACTCCAAGGCACATGGACAGCAACCGCTACACATGTATTTGATTGGAAAGAACTTTATAGCTGTATTCAACTTTAATAAATTACTATTTTTCGCCTGCATGTCAACCGATGGCAGAGCGAGCGAGAGTGGGGGAGAGAAAGAGAGCACGGACTGCCTTTGCCATAACTCTTTTTACAACAAATCTTCATAACTTTCGCCTTTAATCCATGACTACCTTTCGAACCTCGTCTGAAAGTATTTCCACAAATGCAAAACTATTACGTACTATATCCCGATACTGAAAACAACAGGAGAAATCGACTTTAATCCCGCCAATAAACCTGGAAATAATGCACAGAACGCGGGACGGAATAGCGACATGTGGCTACCAGCGCGGCCCGCCATCGCGTTCTCCCTCTCAAGTTCACTTCTTCCAACTTCCCTTGGTTCCATCACAAAAAAGATCAAAAGCCTCATGGCCGTGGGCACGTCTCCTCTCTGGGCGACCTGGGAGGAAATGCCAAGACGGAATATGTTGCATTTTAGTAGGTTAAGCGTTGTTAACCTGCCCGAAAGTCGCATTGTTCTGTACTCCTAACCTGTGTACCATTCGTTCATAATGAACACAAATTGGCATACCATTATACCATCACCAGATATGCAGATACACCACACCATTTGCAGGACGTATCCGTAGCGTGTTTAGGCCTTCCATTGAATGTAATCCGGTCAAAAGAATGATATTGGATGTAATAAATATATGTTTATTGATTTTCTTGAATGAGGCGTCCATATTAGATGAGCTAAAAATCAGTTTGAATTACAACTGTGGTGCCGGTCCAGAAGCGTGAGCAGTGACACGTATGTTCATTTTTATAGTGTAGATGTAAACTCCTTCACAAACTGATACCATTATCAGCGTGTGACTGCCCAATGTGTCCTGCCATCAACAGGTTCCCTTTATAATTTCCAATTTGAAGTGCGTGTTACTGCATTTACGCTTCTTTTACCCCAAACGTACGATATTCTGGAATAATATTTTACTTTCGAGTCAATAGGACAAAGGTATTATCATGCAAATGATCTGAATGTACCTCAATTCAAGTAAATACTAAAGTCAACAATAAAGCGAATGTAATCCATAATATGAGTAAAAACTGGCATCGCGCAGGTACCTTCCACCTTTTAGACGTTCCTTTGCGATTTCTGAAAACTTGGAATTAATTATTAGTAATAAAATATTACGCGCTGCATTATGCAATTCTCCCACATTGCACAGGGGATTCGAGGATTCCACAGCCTTCTCGCGTCTCTGAAAAGAAGCTGATTAAAAGATATAAAAAGACGCTGTGTTATCGAAACTTAACACTTCCCTTATCCCCTCAAAAAAAAACTTTTCCCTCGTGAAGTTTTTAAGTCTGACGAAACAAGGTCGAACTCATAAACACACATACTAACACACTCACACATGGCTTGCCTCTCTCACACTCTTGTCCTTAAAAGCTAAAAAACGAATAAAGGGTTTGCAAATAAGTCTAGACATTCCTCTTGATCACCTCGCAGGGCATTCAACTTTCATTTCCTCATCTCGGAACAAATACACTCTCATTCTCACGTTGACATACAAGGTCTTAAAACAAGTAAACCCAAACAATCAATACACTCTGGTGAACGTGAGTGAATAACTTTGTACAACTATACTTTTATTTAACATTATATACATCCGACTTACCTGGTGTTTCTTAGCAGCTAGCCACATCTGATATTGATGTGTTTGTAGATCCATTTTCAAGGTTTGTCAAAGCACACTTTCACCTCCTTTAAAGTTGTAAACACTTAAAGGAATCTCTTTAAATGAAGAGATAAACTTGCACAGGTTTCGGAAATGAAGTTAGTATTGGAACGCGTCGCGATGTTTTTCCCGTAGAGCAAAGTCTTGCCAAATAGTGTGTTTCTTGGGAATGAATGCATATTACTCATTCGATATAACTCATTTTCTTTATTCTTTTTGGATTTCGATTGATCATTGGATGGAATTAACATAGTTAAATAAATAGACTGAATCTGATATACATGTATCACCATCTTTGGAGGGTTTCCAATATAGTTCGCCGTTGAATAATTGTCTCTGCGCATTATGTTCTGTTTAAGAATAGAATGGATAAGATGACAATAGTGATAATGAATCAAAGTATGATTTATGGCTATCGCATTGTTTTGAGAAGGATTAATTTACCCTTTTCCCCAATAAGGTGTTCGAATTGCGCATGGAACTCTTCCCTTTAAGATGCGATATTTAATTCTCAGCAACAATTTCGTTTGCAAGGAAGTCATTGGCACACTTTTATTAATTTATTATCATTCAGTTGTCCACCAAATAAATGCATCTATTGGCGGGTTCAATCCCCATAGACATAAAACTCCTACGGATATTTTTTCAAGATCACAGACAGCAGTTACGTTACTTATTAAGAAAGCTTAACATATTTACCTTATCCTTTATTAGCCCATCAAATAATGTAATACTTTATAGATTAATGACTGTTGGATATTAAGAGGAGAAATATACATGATAAGATAATGTTTATTGCTTAACATTATCCATCTCGCAACCCGACTCTAAAGTATCACATGTGAGAACTCGGGCCGTCCGTAGGCCGATTTCAAGGATTTGGTAAGAAGTTCGCTAATAATCGTCAGTTGATCACCAATGACTTCCTTAACATAATAGAGCTCAAACCCAATTATAATAGAGGTCATATGTATCTACATAAGAAGCATAATTCCAATGTTATTGAGACAGTTAAAGAGTTTGTCCAGCGGGGGCGAGCGCGGGAATAGGCCAGGGGAGAACGGAATATATCGAAGTATTTCTGAGAGAAAGGGAGAAATTGCTTTGTTTAAGGTTTGCCAATAAACACCGATGTTAGCTTAACAGGTTGCGCGCTCCCGAAACTAATTTAAAGGTTGGAGAAGGAAGAAATAACTAAGTTTAACGTAGCCAATGTTGTCCCTCCTCTTCCCCTCCCCCTCCCTGCCTGGCCATGATGCAATAGCAAGTGCAAAGAGGAAACAGATGTCAACTAAAGAGATAATAGGGCTTTCATTATGTCTATTTCCTCTTCCTGTGTTAGAGGAACACTAACACTGTGTTATCTTATACATTGTAGAAGAGTTAGAAGGGTAAACTAAGTGTTATGAAGTGTGAATGGTTGTCCTTGGAATAAGTTGTTTGCTCTTGCAGGAAACAAAACAGGATTTTGCATTTACTATTTAGGATATGCATGAAAGTTTTGCATGGGAGCAGGTTTATGTAAATGCTAACTACTTCCAGGTATTTTACTGATAAATAATAAAATCAGTTTTTGTAGTTAGCTACTGTTTGAGAGGAGTGCAGTCTTTTGGAAGGACAAGCAAGAACTGATGGTGAAGCTTTAGTAACATGAATTACCTTTGTAATGATCTAAAAGAAAGTGGAAAGGTTTCCAGCAGGATTGCATTCGTCGGAGACTAATGTCCAGTTTAGTTAATTTGTGTGAGACCTGACCTAAATAACTGTCATATACGAACATGATTATACACAGATATAAATTTATATCTGTCCATCTATCAGTTAGATATATCTTTATTTATCTATCTTTCTGGTAGATCTTCATGTCTAGACTGAGGATATGTATTTATTTCTGTGTATATGTAACTCCGTGTAATGATTCTTAATTAGGATGGGCCTTGCACAGTTTTAACAAACCAAACATAGATCCTCAATTTGAATGAAAGATAATGAACTCCATTCTTGATGCACATGGCACCACTGAGATTGTTGTCTGATCCCAAAACATTGCTAACCTGGGTTCGTTTCTCCCTAGCTGGTACAGTCTGTTTGGGTGCCGTAATGATATAAATTGTGCAGTAATACAGTAATACTAGTTGACTATTATATACTTTGATCTCCTTGACATAAATGCAATAAACTTTCACTTATTTTTATTCAAGAATTCTTGAAACAAAGTCTGCACCTGAGACAATAAGTCATATGACATTGGTTCCCTGTTTTTCAGTCTATCCCAATCATACACGTCTAGACATGACTGTGACCCCAGTCTGTTCTATAATGTATAGGTTTGTGTTGTATATTACTTATTATAAGGAAAATCATAATAAATATCCATATTAGAAAGGTAGCCTACTGTAAGGTTGGAAAAATATGAAATTAGTATCATTAAATTTGATTATAGTATTTGAAGTTTAAAGGCCCATTATTAATCAAAGCATCCACTTCTAGAATGATAGTCTTATTTCATAAAGATAAACTAAAAATCTAATTATAAATGCTTTCTATTAACTGATATAGATTGGTTTTAATGGGAGCCTTTTGCCTGGGTGTTGCTGTTGTTTCTCTATTCGTGGTTTAGTTGTACATGCTACGCTATTTGGATGTAGGTAGGCGGAGACATGTCTGATACAGGATTAGTAGGTAGGACTACTGCATTTTAGATTATTGTGTAATAATGAAGCAAAATTTTGTAATAAGCCCAGAACCAATATGTGATTACGTATATGCTGAAAGCATCTGAAAATTGAGCATTGACTACATCTGATATTTTGAGGTCTTGGTGACCCCAGGGTTAGGAAAGGCTGTTCTGTGATCACTGGCTTCTGTGCCCTTAGCACTCTGACAAAGGTCAACAAACTTCCACCTTATATATTTGAAAAAATAGAACTTAAACTCATTCCTTATTTAACAGCAGGGTGGCCAAGAAGCTTGTCTTGCTTGAATATGTACAAAGGGAGCTTTTTATCCTTTTGCCAGTGTGCCGAAGATATAGAGACCACAGTGAATGCTGGAAACATTGTAGTTGTATTTGTAGTAAGCTATTGTGGGCTTTCATTCACTTTCTTCTGGTTGTCTTCTGCAGGTAATACTGTTGTTTTGTGTGTTCTTTAAGGGTATAGTTTTTCTGTTTCAAAATGGTTCTCATTTCAAGATTTTCCATATATTCTGGGAGGATAGACTATGTACCTTCTTAGCAAATTTATCGTTGAATGGGGAACCAGTCCAAGGTCTGTCTTGCTATGTGTAGACTTTTTTTGGCAGTTGTTAAAGTACAAAATCAAAGGTTAGCTTGTGACACCGAGAGACGATCTTATGGGTCTTGAGATTGTTGGTCTTGTATCAAAGAGAAGTACAGCTTTCAAGTGGAAATAGATGAAACAGCTAATGTAATAAGAAAATAAAGCTGTATGTTGACAGTCACTGGATATCTTTGGTTTTTAGTATTTTATTCTAGTCTATATATTGTAATCTGTTTTAGCAGTTAATCTGCAGTAATACTAGATTTGAGAATGTTACCTGTTTTCATGGTTTTAAGTAACATATATTACAAAAATGGAAATGCTGGATTTGCACACCTTTGAGTAGTAGTAGTAGCTAGTCCTATAATCTGGTTTGAGAAAACAGGATTCAGAGTTACTGGATTAAAATCCCCATAGATCAATAGCACTCCCAAACCAGTGTGCCAGTGTAAGATGGGAGACAGACCTGGTTCAAGGCAGCTTATAGAATGTTAACATTATCAGGCAACAATTGAGATAGGATTATTACTGAGATTTAGACTCAACACTCCTCAGATTTTTCAGATAAAGATTAATGTCTCAGATGAAGAATTTGTTTCAAATTTACTAGAAATCTGTTTTGACCAAATAAAAACAAATTTTGAGATGTAGTTACATTGGTTTTAGCTTTTGCAATAATGAAAAATAATAGAAAACATTCTTTCCTCTTCCCCCCAAAGTATTATTAATATAAATTTGCATAT